ACCTCCAGATTCTGGCAGACAGCAGTAGCCCAGACCACCACCTACAGTCTCTACCACTAATCTGCAGCTGTCACCTCCACCTGCAGATTACAGCAGAGAGTAGCAGCCCAGACCTCAACGTACAGTCTTGGCCAGTAACCTGCAGCCACTTGCTCCTCTATCTGCAGATTCTGGCAGACAGCTGTAGCCCAGACGTCCACCTACAGTCTCCACTAGTTACTTGCATCCACCTGCTCCACGTGCAGATTCTTGCAGATTACTGAAGCCCAGAAGTCCTCCTACAGTCTCCACATGTGACCTACAGCCGGCTTCTCCTCCTGCAAATCTCCACTTACAGTGTCTGACAGCAACTTGCAGCCACCTTCTCCACCTGCAGATTCTTGCAGACAGCCACAGCTGCAGTTGTAGCCCAGACCACCACCTACAGTCTCTACCACTAACCTGCAGCTGTCACGTCCGCTTGCAGTGTCTGGCAGTCAGCAAGGGCCTCAAACTCCACCTATAGCCTCTTCCAGCAACCTGCAGCTTCCTCCACCTGCAGATTCTGGAAGAAAGCTGAGACCTCAAACTCCACCTACAGTCTTCAGCAGTACCCTCCACCCTCTGCTAGAAATCTGCAGCATCTTCCACATGCAGTTTTTGGCAGGCAGCCGTAGCCCAGTTCATCACCTACAGTCTCTACCACTAACCTGCAGCTGTAACGTTCACTTGTAGTTTCTGGCAGTCAGCAAGGGCCTGAATCTCCAGCCACAACCAAAATCTCCATCTACAGCTTCTGCAGCTTCCATCACTTGCAGACTGTTGCAGACAGCAACAACCTCCACCTACATTCTCTAGCAACAATCTGCAGTCACCTGCTCCACCTTCAGATTCTAGCAGATTTCCACAAACCCAAACCACCACCTACAACCACACACAGCAACCCTAAAACTAAAAAGAATAATAGAAAAAAAAAATAAAGCATCAGACTCCACCTGAAGCCTTCAACATCCACCTACAGCACCCATCAGTCTCAGCCTTCACTATCCACTTCTGATTTCCAGCTACATCCCCTTTCAGCCAACCAGTTCCAGCTGCCCACAAAGAAATGCAGCTCCATCCTTCATGTACATCCTTTGACAGCCACCATTTGCCTCTTCCTTAAATCTTTAATCAGATGACAACCAGATGCAGCTCCAATTCCCACCAACAGTCTTCAGAAACCAAACCAAACCAAACTCAGCTAAGTTCTCAAGGGGAGCAGCTGGATGAAATTGAAGGTTTTTTTCTAGTTCCAAGGTAAAATATGTTCATACAAAGAGAAACTAGGGTTAAGACTGAAATTCATGTATAAGCACCCAGAAGGACCAAACTATGTTTTTTACATGACTCTTTTTCTCTTTAATTCTGAATTTACTGATGACCTGACTTTTAATGTTGCTCATGCAAACTGACAACCACAACAAGTCATTAAAGTGCTGTGGAGGATCTAAACTGCATGTGAGAAACATAACATCACATTTTCAGAGGTTTGTTTTGTTATGTTTTGTATCTTAGGCAAACATTAGCTGGTGGATAAAAGGTGTTCCCAATGGCATCATCAAAATGTCCCAGGGTCAGATTCCAACCATGAAGTCCAATCTGTGACAAATAAGTCACACATTTGAAAGGTTTTATGCACTAAATAACTTTTTGTGTATTTTAGAAATGATCAAGCCCAATTTGAGAGAAAATGAATAAAATATGTATATGATCCCTTTTTTCTTGCAGGAAACTATATCCAGAGCGATGTCAAGGTAGTGTGGATGTGACCATTTCCAAGTTTCTTCACCTTGAACAGCATCAGTAAATCCTCATCTGCTTCTTCTTCACTTTATTCCTCTTCCTTATCCTCCACATTAACCATCAACTTCTGCTTCTCTCACCAACTGAGAGCACCTCTTCACCAGGGTCCTTTGGCTCAAAACCCAGTCACCTTTTTCCCCAGATCTTCCATTTGTGAAGACCTGCCTATATGTCTGTTTTATGGAAAGCAAGATCATAACTGTTAAGTGTTGTCAGCAAGTGTGTGGATTACATTGATGAACTGTTGCAATACAAGTTGAGTAATTAAAGTCTAAAAGTATGTTAAAACATTGATCAGTTTAGTTAGATGAGATGTTCGGAAATAAATAAAATGTAAACATTAATTCATTCAATCTATATTTGGGATGGCTAAACTGAGCTTTTCACCCTCTTTTGCATGGGCATCCTGTGTAGAGGCAGAAGAGATGAGAGATGAATCTGCTGTTTAATTCATTGATCAGCTATCAGAATGATTACATTGTAACAAAAACTGTAGATGTCACCAACATACTGATACCTACTTGCATTTAAAGGTGAAGACAATGGATGTACAGTACCTCTGCCAACATTACATCAATGTTTATATGGCAACAGTGCCCCCAAGTGACTGTACTTTGACATTACATGTGAACAGAGACGTGACTACAGTACATACTGACATCTTCCTTTGTTCTGAATCAGGTGCTAAGTGGCACCAAAGTAATTACTCATTTGTTTCTAATTAAAGGGGACATATTATGCAAAACTGACTTTTTAATCATTTGATTATGTACATTTGGCTAGCTCGCTATTCGTTATAAGGCCACAACCTGGCGGAGCTCCGCTAGAGAAGCGCCGGGCGAAGTGCACTTCCTGTGGGTGGCAACATGGAGCCGACAATGACGTCAAAACACGAAATCCTGAACATTGCGTGATTCTATCTCTGTACATTCTTGAACTGAGGCCAGCCCACAAAAAACCATGACTCAGGAGTCATTTTTTTTCCCAACCCCACTTTTGGCCCTGCTGATAGGCCCTCCCAGAAGTCCCAACTCGTAC